TGCCACCTGGGAAAGGGAAGATGACATGGCCAAGAGATATCCTGAACTGTTCCCTCTGAATCCTGTTTTCTTCTAGAATGAAGATAACTCGAGTTTAGAGGACTAAACTCTTTATAAGGAGGGGAGACTGTAATAACCCTCACCACTGTTTACTGATAAGCCATTGATTACTGTTAAACTGAGGCTAAATATGTTAATTGACTGACTGACTGAAAACTGAAGCCGAATTGATTGAGTATATTAGTTAAATTACAACTCTATCTGTTTGACTGTTTAATTATCTGTTCATGTTTTATGCTTTAAACTGCAAATTGAAGGCCTTATCGGCGGCTGAATCCGAAATTGATTGATGATTTATGATCATTAGAATTTATGTGATTTTATGGTGTATTTATCCAAAATATGATTTGGTATGCTTAAATCAGATTAAACGTTGATAAATTGCACCAATTGACTTAATTCACCAAAATACCACACTAGTGGCCCACTATCTAAACATATTTGAGCCTTCTTCAAACATACTTCATCAGCCATTTTGAGTCCTATAGCTGACTAGAGTGAGGGAGTGTGAGGAATTGAGTTCAACTTGGAGAATTGGCTAGAGAACTTGAAGAAATTGTTAAGGATTTGTGCAATTGAGTTTCTATACTTGAATACAAGACTTAAGGTAGAAATTCATCTTCTCATTCTTGTGTTTAAATTGATTCTTGCATGGTTTAGAGCAAAGTTGAAGACTAGAGCCAATTTATGGCTCAAATTGTTGTGTTGAAGCTTAATTGTTTCATGCATGTATATATATATATATATTGAAGTTATGAGGTTGTAGTTCATAATTCCTCACATGCATGTCCATGTTTTGAAAGTAGACCATGATTTCATCTTGATTTTGTAAGAATTGGCTCACTAGAGCAAGTGTTAGAAGCTTTGAATTGGTTAAATTCATGCATGTTTGCATGTTCTTCATATTCATGAAATTTAGTTTCAATTTGGGCTCAATTGATCTTCCTTTGGGGCTTTGATTTTACATTTGAACTTTGAATCATGTTAAACTTTGAGTTTTGGAATGTTTTTTGGAAAATTGGCCCAAATAATATGGTTTTGATGCATTTAAAGTTGAATTTGAGCTTGAGGTTCAAATCTGGGAATTCCAGATTTTGAACTTACGCTCGAGCGGGGTGACTAGCGCTCGAGCGTGGAAATCGTTCTCCCAGCATTTTGTTCTGCTTTTAAGTCAGCTCGAACGGGGTAATTTACGCTCGAGCAGGACCTTGTGTATTACACTCGAGCGGGTGTCGAGCGCCCAATCGAGCGTGATTTTCACCTATCCAGCACTTTTGACTGTTTTGCAGAATGCTCGAGCATGTAAGTCTACGCTCGAGCGGAAACCTTTGTCTGCATGTTCACTCAAGCGGAGTAACCTACGCTCGAGCGTGACCCCTGTTTTCTGAAAATGCTTTTAAAGTGCATCTTTGCATCCTCATTTCATCTTAGGCATTCTTAGGCCTAGTTTAAGGCATCTTAATGAGGATATAGATGTAGAACACACTGAGGCAAATTAGGGATTAAGTTATTATCTTTCCCAACTGTGTAACTTAGTGTGTGTTCGTCTTGTAAACTGTGTAGGGTTGGCGACTGGAGACGCGCTCTAGCTTAACTGTAGCCCAGAACTCTGTGAGTAACAACTGTGTAAAGATATGTTCAAAGATGAATATTTTCTGACTGTTAACTGAACTGCTTTCTGAATTGTTACTGTCAACTGAATGAATATATGACCTATATTCTGAACTGTATTGTAGCATCCTTAGCAACTACTGTTTATTGTTACTGCTATTGTTACAGAGATCTCTGTCGGTTCCCATGCGGAACCACTACTGTTTACTGTTATGATGGCCATCATTGATTGCTTGGCCTTTTAAGACCTATTGTTTACTGTACTGCTATGCTAATGGATGTACCACATATGACTGTTACGACTGAATGATTGAAATACTGATTTAATGAACTGTTTTCATTACTGGAAGGACATTCATTCTTAACTTCTTTACGCATTATGTTATTCACTGGGTTTCAGCTCACTGTTTATATATATATGTAGGTGTACAAGCACCAGACCGGAGCTAGGAGCGTGGGTTAGACTCCCTTTTTGTCAAGCTAACCACTGTGCCTCACTGCGAGATTCCGAGCCTGCCAAGCTATGGCTTAGGGGTGTTTTAATTTTCCCCTGTCTGTCTCTGTATCTGTTTTGTAATAACTGTATAGACTGATAGCACTGTACTGTACTGTCTAACAGGGATTAGGTCCCTGTTCTGATCGACTGTAAATGTTGTACATACTGTTCTGTATTGTTCATGTATATATGTATGAAAAATCTTTTTGCATACAGACTGTCACAGCTCATTGGACACTGTTTATTAACTGTTTTGGCTTCCGCCATGCCCCTGTACTCTGTATTACTGTCTTACTGTTAAGCAGGCTTTCGGTAATCTCGGATTACTGGCCGGTTACGGTGCTAAACCCATAGGGGCGGGTTTGGGTCGTGACAGAATCACTTGGCCTTTTTTGTCAACATATCGTATTACAACTGCCATTTGCTCCTTGATTGATATGTAACAGGCTTTATCAATCAAAATAGAAAAAAGTGCATCACCAAGATCTCTAATAATCACATTGATAGTTTCAAATGCGGCCACATTTACAATGTCTTTTTGAATATCAGGAGATGTCAACTTGAGATTTTGTGGAACATTGCTCAATGCGACCATTTTGACATCTTCATTATGATCAGCAAGAAACTTGAGAAGTTCAAGAAAATTTCTTTGGTTACTTGAATTTGCAGATTCATCATGCCCACGAAACGCAAGTCCTTGTCTTAGAAGAAATTTAACACAATCAACCGATGAATTCAAACAGGTTCAATACTCAATTCGAGCTTGATCAGATTGTTTGAAAAAAATCGTTTTAATATGTTGGTTTTGGTTTAACAAGTCTTGACAGTTACTCTAAGCTTGATTATGAGAACTATTGGGGCCTCCAACATGAGTCTGAATTTTTTCTTTTTTCTTCCAATTTGAGAAACCCTCACTAACAAAAGAATCACCACCAGCTTGATCTCCAATATCGGGTTTGAAAAGATAACAACATAAACAAAATGCTGCATCTTTGGCTACACTATACTCCAACAAATTAGGAAATTCACTAAACCAAGCCTGATTAAATCACCGAAGGTTTTGTCCAAATGATTTTTGTGAAAAATTATGATCACGAGGTTGACAATGACCTTTTTGTAGATATGCCCTATGAATTCGGTCTCGATCATTAGCATTATAGTCCATAATCCGAGGCCGTAGTCCTGGATCTGCAGAAAGGTCTACTAAGTTGATTTCTATGCGACTTTTTTTTGCGGAAGAATAATTTTCATCTTTTTCTTGAGAAGGAAATGATTCCCACTTTGATTTTCTTTTGAAATATTTCTCCATGACTGCTTGAAAAAACTAAAAATCAAAATAAAAATTCATATTCAAAATCTCAAACCCCCCACAAATCAAAATCTTCAATTTTAATACAAATCAAAAAAATTAAATTAGCACAAATCACAACAAATCAAAATTTTTAATTTTAGCACAAATTATAACAAATCAAAATCCCTAATTTAAATATTAATCACTGCAAATTAATATTTTTAATTTTAGCACAAATCAAATCCCTAATTAACATAGTGAGGGAGAGATAGACAAGTAGACAGAGAGGATGAGCGAGAGAAAACAGATGAGAGAGATAGAGAGAAGAGAGATAGGCGAGAGACACAGAGAGAAAATGAGAGAGAGAAACAGACAGACAGAGAAAAAAGAGTGATGAGTGAAAACGATAAAGATAAGAGATAGAGATAGAGACAGAGAGACAAGAAGATGAAAAAATGAATGAAAAGAGTAATGTTATATCAAAAGAGTAAGACGATATTGTTTTTTTTTTAATTTTTTTTGCGACAGAAAAATACCGTTGAATTTATTCAAACCATTTTGTGACTGTATATATATGAAGCTATCTCAAAACCACAATCACTATGCTAGGTTAGAGTTTTCCAAAAACTCTTTTGAGAAAATTAAACTTTCTTGTTTTCCGTGTTTTATTGTTTTTACTGAATTTTTTAAATATTTTAAGTATTTTTTAAAATTTTTAGACACACCTAACATAAATACACCTAAAAATTAAAAAAATTGTAAAAAAAATCTTTTAAAAATTCACTAAATACCAAAAATACAATAATTCAATACATTTTTTTTGTATTTTTATGTATTTATTAATTTTTAAAAATATTTTTTCATAATTTTTTTATTTTGTAGATACATCTAAGTAAGGTACATCTAAAAAAAATATTTAAAATTTTAAAAATATTCACTAAAAAAAACACGAAAGTCACTTTTTGCGACGGCAGAAAATGCCGTCTAAAAAAAGCAGAGCATTTGCGACGGTACTATTTGCCGTCTCAAAAAATGAGAGTATTTGCGACGGTATTTAGTGCCGTCGCAAATGCTCTGCTTTTTTGAGACAACAAATGATGCCGTCGCAAATACTCTGCTTTTTTGAGACGGCATTTTCTGCCGTCGCAAAAAGTGACTTTTTGAGACGGCAGGTGTACCGTCGCAAATAGTTCCGTCTTATATACCCAGTTTTCTTGTAGTGTTTGCATGTGGTAATGAAATTAAAAGAGTCTTAAAATATAAATTTAATTGAAACATAAGTTTTTTTTTTAACAGAATTCAAGTTGAATCAAATATTAGTCTTTAAAATTATTGTTGGAGACACAAATAAGAAGCATTCAAGCAAGCAAACGTGATAAAAATTTAAAAAATAAAATAAAATCACATCGTATTAGCTAAAAAAAGACACAAGAATAAAAAAATATATATTTAGCGTGTCATATTGTAATACCTCAAATACATCTAAATTATTTATTCGTGTGTGTCTGGAATTCACATAAATGAAAAATTTGGATGCATTTGTGACACAAAATAGACACCCCATAAAAATAATTGAAGCACATGGATGGTACACTACAAACAAACAGTTCAAAAAACGAGTGACATAATGGCCCAATATGACAATGACAGTGAAATCAATTGTGGCCAATTCTCAAAACAACAAAATCAAAAACAAAAATACAGAGAACAATTAATAGATACCTCAAACTTAAATAAACACAACCGGAAAAAAAAAGAAAAAAAAAAGCTTGTGGTCACACCCTTGTGGTCACACACACCGACCACACTACCTTTCAATTTTTTTTTTTTTTAAATTTTTTTATTTTATCAATTATGCCCTTAAAACTCTGTGTTTGCCAAGGGCTCATGAGTGTGGCTAATGAAAACAAGCTCATAGACAACCCCAGCAATTGCACCTCCGATAAGTGGGCCGGCCCAATAGACCCAGTGGTTGGTCCAGTCCCAGCTGACCAATGCAGGCCCAAACGAGACAGCTGGGTTCATGGAGGCCCCGTCAAAGGCGCCGCCGGCTAGAATGTTAGCTCCGACGATGAAACCGATGGCGATGGGCGCGAGTATCCCAACATTGCCCTTTGACTTGGGGTCAACGGCAGTGGCGTAAACGGTGTAAACCAAACCGAAGGTCATGACGATTTCCAATACGAACGCGTTCCATACTGACTCTCCGGATGATATCGAAAATGCTGACGTGATCTGTGTAAAATTTATTTTTTTTAATGATTAGAAGAGAGAGTAATGATATATAAAAAGAACAGGGTAATATATAAATTTATTTAATTTTCAAAATGATATCTATTTTTTTTTTTTGTGAAAATCAGTTAATGCGTGACAGAGGGCAAAAGACACTTTTATTTGGGCAGACCATGGCCCATCTAAAATGAAATGTTTATCTGGAAAAAGTTAAAATAAATCAACACCTTTCATTTATTGGGTATTTATTCTTGACATTACAGTTAAACCAGAGAATTTATTTAGAATTAAATATTGATTAGTATGTTCCTCCATAAAAATAAAATCAAATCAAATAATTCATAAAATCAAATAAGCATGGTAGCACAAATCCATTGTTCACACTATTCTCTCTCATCCAAACACGGATAAGAGAGAATCTCTGTGATTTATAATTGCTAAAATATTATTATCAATTGCCACGTTATCTATAATTTATTTACTTTTAGTATACTTAAGATTTTCAATTCAGTGTAATCAGGGCGGCGTAAAATATCACTCAACTTGTTAAAATCGTACTAATTTGTATTAATTCATACCGCTTTAACCGTTAATTATGGATTAAACTTTAAGGTCATGTTTGTTTGGGCGGATTGGATTAGTATTCCCATAACTAATAGTCTTAGGACTACGAATCCGTTGGATTATGTATCCTATCTTAACTAATAATCAAGTTTAAAATAATTAGTCCGTACTTCAATTGTTTAACCAAACATCGGATTAATAATTTTATTGGACTATTAGTCCAATCCCAAGCTCATGTCCATCCAAACAAACATAGCCTAAAATTTATAATCTGTCAACCGAACTGTTCCGCTCCGCTATAATTAATACATTTATATTTTTTAATTTCCAATAAAATATCAAATGTAAAAATAAATGTGAGAGAGATTTAAAATTTGAAATTTATTATAAATTAGTGGTTATATATATGAAACATATTATCTAAAATTACTTTGTGTTATATATCTAAAAAAAATTATACAAATTAGTGTTATATATTATGCAAATGTATAATAATTAGTTAGAATATTTTTCAATCCGCCAATTTGTTAAAAAAACACCTAAACCGATTTGATTTATAATTTTATTTTCAAATCGTCCAAAACGCACCGCGTACACCCGTAAATGTGGCCGCGATAGAGATAGTGATGGTGAGGAAGGCGATAGCGATTGTGATGTTGTGGTCGTGTAATAGCATTAGTAATACTTTGAAAAATATATTTTTTTTTATCAAATTGATCCTAAAAATTATTTCACATTAACTTTCATTTACCGTTATAATAACCACTATACAGAATATAATTTTATTTTATAAATAGTTTTGACCAGAACAGAGCGGTAACTAAAACACCACTCACCATGTTGCCAGTAGCGAACTTGAGGAGCAAACAAGCGACAGTGGAGCCAAGTAGCTGAGCAATCCAGTAGAGAATACCACGGAGGAGAGTAATATTCCCACCGATGAACAAACCGAAAGTGACCGCCGGGTTGACATGGCCGCCAGAGATATTGGCCGACACTGCCACCCCCACGAAAAGCCCGAAAGCATGGGCCAACGCGGCGGCCACCAACCCGGCTGGGGTGGTGGAGCCGCCGTCTGTCAACTTGCTGAACGCCATGCCGGACCCTTCACCGGCGAATACAAAAATGAGTGTGCTTATGAACTCCGCCAACGCCATTTTGAGTGTGTTCGGGTGGGTCTCCTCCTGGTACCGCCCGACTGCTATCTGACGGATCGGCATCGCCGGTGGTTTTGAGAATTACACGGCGGCGAGTGGTGGTGATAAGGGTTTTGGAGAGGGTTGCAAATATTAGTGAGGATGTGTCACTAGTATGTGTGCGTGGGAGTGGACTTATATTGAAGGAGGTTGGGGACATGGGAACCTGCTATAGCCGGTTTCTAAGTAATTATTTGATATACGGTGATATACAAAGAAAAAAATTTATATAATATTTTGACTGAGGGTGCTGTTATGGTGTGCAACCCCTTAAGGTTGCACACCATATGCAACCAACACAAAATGTGTAAGTAGAAGGTGTAAACATAAAACAGGACAGCAAACAGAAAGGCGTAAGTATAAGGTATAAGTTACACACTTAAGAAAAGTTCATTGATTGAATAGTCCAAAAGTTAATTTTACTTTTCAAATTGAGTGATTTAATAATTTATGAGAATATGTAAGGTACATTCTTTGATCAATTTTCTAACACATCATTGAGGGCAGATGGGCTTGTACATTATTTTGTTTATTAATTTAATATAAACATTTTATTTTAATATAAAATACTTTTGAAGATGAATTTAATAATGAAAATAGTATTTCTTATATAATTTTTTTGTATGAATTTTCAATAATACTATACCTATCAACTTTATTCAAAAGTTTGTCTAGAAATAACAACAATGGCTTATATTCAAGGCTATTTTGGAAAAATAGTTAAAAGCCATCTTCTACCTTTTAACTTATTTTGGATTACATCATTTCTTACATTTTATATAAGTTTTTTTTAAAAAAAAAAGTCAAAAGAATAAAAAAAACTGAGTTTTTAACCATCTTTCCCAAACAATCCTCATTTTATACATAAATCTCATACTACATCGATTCAATCTTCACTACACACATTTTTTGGGTTCATAGAATTTCCATTGAATTTTGTGCGTGGATTCTTATTTTTTCAATGTGAGAGGGTAATTTATATGTAAATTGGGCCGAGCTGGGTAATGGGTCATTCAGTGGGCCACAGTAAGAAGGGCTGAGTAAAAGACCCTTGTAATTAGTCCGGTTCAGAATAGCCTTACAGATAGCCCGGTCCGAAGGAGCTTGGTGGTTAGCTCGGTCACCACGGTCGGCGCGGTGACAGTTAGCCCGGTCAAACCATCTTGAGCCAAGGTATTTTTGGCTTCTATTTAAGACCTTGCTGTTGAGTAGCTCGGTCCAAGTACGCTATGGTTAGCACGGTCTACAGGCAAAGCCGAGGTACATGTTACATATAAAGCACCGGGATAAATGTAACATGAGTATTGTTAGCTCGGTTCCATTGTCATTATGTCATGGCAATGCTAGCTCGGTCGTTTGGATATGACACCGAGCTAGGACCATCTCACTTGGTCTAAGCAGTGAGGGGGGTGTTGAAGGATAAGCATTATCTTTCAGAAGTATGATTTCTAGGAGGACTCTGCATGGAGGAATAAGAGTCCTACTAGGATTGTGCCACGCGGAACTTATAAAAGCTCATATCATCACCTATGGAGAGGTAATACAACTTTGATTCCCGAATACATAGACCTTTTGTCTATTTGTCTATTTTGCTGACTTAGGCATCGGAGAGGTATCCGGCACACACCCGCCGGCTAGCTCACGTTTATGTTTTCAGGGAGTAAAGTGATGACGTTTGGAGGAGCGCAGATTTGATCAACAGGATTATACGAGAAGAATCTTTCTTGCTTGTACAATTGGCGCCGTCTGTGGGAATCACAGAAAGAACAAAACCTCTTGATCAAAGTTTTCCTTGCTAGATTAGACACAATGGCACACAATGAAGATTTGCCACAATCCGCCATTGACGAACAAACCCCAGAGGGAGGTGGAAGGCACGAAGGTTTGCCTTCCATTTCTTCCATGGCAGATTTAGAGCCCCAGCGACAGAACCCCGGGAGGGACGCAAGAGGGAGGCGGGGTAACAGCCCCTGTCGCTCATCAAGTCCTGATGGGCAGAGGCGGAGGATCGATCCTCAAGTTTTAGAGGATCGGGTAAAGGAGCAAGACGAGCTAATCAGGAAGATGGCGGCGGACATGGAATTGATGAAGTGCCAGATAAAAGGGAAGAGGGTGGCAACAGGAGAGGGGCGCAAAAGCAATACGTCTCCTCGTCACTCGGAAGATCGTGGTAGGCATACCACATCGTCATAAGCAGAGAGTAGGAGCCTTAGAATAGGCGACACTCAATCAAGGACTTCCAGAACTCGTTACTCCAGGTCTGAGAGAACGAGATCATTGAGGTCTTACACTGAGGGAAGCACCTATTGGCCCTCACATACGCACCAGACATCATCCAGGCAAACGAAGTTGCCTAGATCGTCCGACTTACGGACTGTGCTTGAAGAAAGGGCACGACGGAAGGAGGATGCTAGGGCACGCGACCCGCACAGAGTTTCAGCCCTTCAGCGGTTGGCTCCTTGGACCCATGGAAGCGTCGAGGTTGGAATGCCAATACCGCACCTTGCCTACGAACCAACAGATAAAGCATTGGCAAGGCTACATAGCTCGCCGTTCGTTCCGGTGATTGAGAACGCACCCTTACCTTCAGGCTTCATCCAGCCTAAATTTATGACTTACGAGGGAAAGACAGACCTTTACATGTACCTAAGCCACTTTCGCCAGGTCATGGCAGTATACCGGCGGAACGAGGCTTTGATGTGTATCCTATTTCGATCCAGCCTTGGCGACCTAGGTTTAACCTGGTTCGAAAGGCTACCAGAAAGCAGCATAGCCTCCTGGGCGTAATTAGCATAGGCGTTCGTGACAAGGTTTAGAACGAACACCAAGACGCCAGTAGAAATCGATCAGCTACTCTCCATTGACATGGGCGACAAGGAGACGTTGAGATCCTACAATAGCTGTTATTGGGAGACCTTCAACTAGATAGGAGTTTGCCCCATAAATCTCGCCATCGCGCAGTTTAAAAGAGTTCTTCCAGTCGGAAACAGGCTAAGGGACACAATTACCATAACGCCCCCTTCACAATGGAAGCCTTAATGGAGAGGATACACCAGCACATTCGAGTAGAGGAGGATAGCGCCCGTGCTAAAACAAAGTCTAGTACAGCCGCAATACTAGATAAAAAGACTTCGGCAAAAGTCAACGCGGTAGAACGCCCTAATAGAAACGGGCGAGGCAAGCGGGACAACGGAGATGACCAAGATAAGAGGTGGTTAAGAGTCCGCACTGCAATTACCATGGTTTTCCAAAAACCAATTTATCAGATTCTTGGTGAAATACGTGATGAACCTTTCGTCAGATGGCCAGCTAAATTGGGAGAGGCACAGAAGGACTATGATGAAAGATCTCGGTGCACCTTTCATAAGGAAAAAGGGCACCGCACTGAGAATTGTACGCCATTGAGATAGCATCTGGAAGAATTAGTGGCAGCTGGGCATCTGGATCAGTGCATCGAGGGAGGGACACAGCCAGCCCCCCAAAACCACGATCACCTAGACGGAACGCCGATCGACGTCCCATCTCAAGGCGTGATAAACGTAATACATTGGGTATTATAACCTGAGCGAGTATGTGAGCTCAGGGAAATGGTCAAGAAGGGTGAGCACTTAAGGGAGGTATTAAGTGCGCAACCTGCCATTAAAAAGGGGAGAACAGAGGCCACGAACGTCATGTTTTTTTCAGACAGAGACTTGGCAAGGATATATTGCCCTCACAATGATGCACTGGTCATCACTCTCCGCGTCAAGGATTACGACGTCAAGCGAATTTTGATCAACCAGGGGAGCTCATGTGAGATAATGTACTACGAAACTTTCAAACAATTGAAACTAGAGGACAAAGACTTGGCATCTGTCGTATCTCCCCTGATCGGATTCAACTCAATGCCAGAATGGCCAGTCGGCAAGATTATCCTCCCAGTCAGAGCAGGAAGCATGACGAAACAAGTGGAATTCTAGGTATTGAAAGTCCTTTCCACTTACAACATAATCTTGGGAAGGACGTAGCTGCATGCCATGCGATCGGTAGCGTCAACCTACCATCAAGTAATGCGATTTCCCAACGAAGCCAGAGTAATTGAGGAGGTCTTTGGAAACCAAATTATGTCCAAGCAGTGCTTCGTCACAGTAAATGGCAGCCGAGCTGCCAAAGGGTTTGTTCAGATGGTGGAAGAACCTGAGAGCAATGAATTGTTTGCGGATGTTGGCAAAGCCACTGAACAGAAGGCAATGGAAGACTTGGTACAAGTAAGAATAGATGAAAAGGACCCGAAAAAGTTCTTTTTGCTTGGCTCATCTATGTCCAGCACCGAGAGAATAGAGGTCATGGAATTCTTGACCTCTTACATCGAAGTGTTTGCCTGGACGCCGCATGACATGCCTGGCATCAATCCAAACTTCATCTGTCACCAATTGAATGTCCACCCAACGGCAAGACCAATTATACAGCACACTCGCAGATCGGTACTCCACCATGCCAAGATAGTGGCGGAAGAAGTAGAAAACCTGCTAGAAGCAGGAGCTATTAGAGAGGTGCACTACCCCAGATGGATCTCCAATACAGTAGTGGTACCAAAGAAGAATGGAAAATGACATGTCTGCGTGGACTACAAAACAGTCAACAAGGCATGCCCAAAGGACAATTTTCCTCTTCCACGGATAGACCAACTGGTAGATCTGACGGTAGGACACAACCGTATTAGCTTTCTCGATACATACAGAGGTTACCATCAAATCGCTATATATGAGCCAGACCAGGAGGTCACATCCTTTACGACGCCAAGAGGATTGTATTGTTACAAGGTCATGCCCTTTGGCCTTAAGAAAGCAGGGGCAACATTCCAACGGATGGTCACCAAGATGTTCGAACCATTGTTAGGCAGAACAATGGAAGCCTACATCGACGACATGGTGGTCAAGAGCAAGGATAAAAATGACCATCTCAGGGACCTAGGCGAGATGTTTCAGATCTTGAAGAAGCACAAGCTACGCCTTAATGCATCCAAGTGTACATTCGGCGTAGGGTCTGGCAAATTCCTAGGCTTCCTGGTGACCAACCGAGGTATAGAAGCAGACCCTTTTCAGATCAAAGCAATTCAGGATCTAGAGAGGCCCAACTCAGTA